AATAAAAATAGATAAAAACAGAATTCCTAAATGAAAAAAAAATAATTAATTACAATATAAAACAAATATTATATACTCCAGTGATTAAATATTTCTTGGAAATATTTTTATTATATTGGTTCAAGCTGAACTATTTTTTACCCTAATAACGTATTATGTTAATAACATAGTCAAAATGTTTTTGTTGATCAACTATACATTAGGAAAATATTTTCTTCTTATTTCTTTTAATATAAAATTATAAAATACTATTTAATAAAATCAACAGTAAATTATTAATTTTCTTTACAAGAATTTTTTAAAACATAGTTTTACAAAAAAACGTACTAAGTATTTTCTAGGAAATTAGTGAACTTCATATACTATACATATATATAATTTAAGGTCAACTATTTTATTATTTATAAGCGTGGTATTTGTAAATAGTTCAATTATAAACTATTTTAATGTTACAATGCACTGGTAATAAGAAAACAAACTACATACTGTAGGAAATTGAGTGTGCGATTTTCGTTTTATTAAGTATACCTACCTATGTCAACATAGTAAATAATAAACAATTATTTTGAATTAAATGATAATAGTATATTTTTTTCAAACGAAAATTAATACAAATAAACTTATAAACATTTATTACACTCACTAAATATTGATAATGATGAATGTTTGTCAAATTATAAAATTTCGCCATACTTAAGTGCTAACAAAATGAAAAAACCAAACGGAGTAAATTGTTAATTTTTTAAAAAGTAACCACAATTTTTATTATATTTTTCAACTTTAGAAATTATCCTAATTGTATGCTTTGTGTTTAAAAAAACATCTCACGTTTTTGTATAGTTTTAATAAATATACATATATTGTACGAGTATATGAGTATATAGGTTATAATATAATATAGGTATATATATATAAATATATAAGACGTGGCCTTTTATTATTTTCAGAGATATTTATTTTTTTATTAAAATAAAAATAAATCGATGATGTAAAACACAGGTTTGCAGTATACTTTATTTATTTTTTCGTTAATTATCTTCTAGTCATTTTCTCATAAATTACATGGATACTTTAAAAAAGTAATTTTAAAACATCATCTGTGATAAATTGTAATCAATTGTAGAATAATATAGCTTTAGTTCTAACTAAAAAAAATATATTAATTAAAAATGCAAGTATATAAGTATCATAAGAAGAGGTGAAAATTAATAAATTAATGATACTTTTATTTTAATTTTTTTAAATTCTGGGCAATAATGCATTCTAGGATAATTACCATTATTTGAGATGGGTATATATATTTGAATATAAATTTATTCAAATGTCTGGAACAATAGTTGTCAATGAAGTTGGAAAATCATACGTTATATTTTTCATAATAGATGAATGAAATGTTGGCATTTCAATATTTGGAATTTCGTTGTGAATTACATGAATATAGTATATATATATATATATAATCAAAATGTTTTGTTGTGTGTTAAAAGTTTTTCTGCTGTGATACACCTTTTACATCATAGGTGTAATTTTAATTTTTACTCGTGAGGGAGCTTGAAAAATGTGTACACAAAAAATTCGTGGGGAGTTTTATCCCCCACATCCTCTTAACTCATTTTATTTAATCATCATACTAAATGTTTATGTTACAAAATATAAAATTTTGAAATAGGGTTATGCCCTCCAAGCCAAATAGTTAACTTACGTATTATATGGCAATATGACTGTATGACAATATCTCAGTAAAATAATAACACACATTTGTGTTATAAAAAACAAATATGTAACATTTATTAATTGCATGTTAATTGTATACAGGGTGTTGGAGAATCGGTAGCTTCGGTAAGAGTTGTGACGTGGCACAAGTTAACCGTGAGATCGAAAGCCACTCGAAAATCTACCATAATCGATAAGACAACACTGTTCAAGTCAAACGGGAACACGAATGGCTGTAATCGGTTGAACAACGAAAACGAAACACTCACCACAACGGCGGGCAACGACAATGAAATAAATGAAACGAAAATATATACTTAGATTGAAACGAACAAGCCGAATAGGATGTAATTAATTTATTTTAAAAACTGCGTTTGTACCGGACCGCAGCCCGGTGAGGATTATTTATGAAAATCGATCCAAGTTGATAACATTATAATTTACTGTCAGTAACTGAGCCGAAAAAATTATAAGGTTTACTATCTGAATAATTGAATAATCTGGTCGTACGAATGATGTTCATAATTCCATTATACTCAGAATCACAATATACCATGATAACATTTATCAATGTGTTCTGAGTTTAGAATAATTCAATTTTACCTATTAATTTTATGTATTATTATTAATTTACCTCGTAGTTTGTAAAATAGTATTTACGTAACAATAAAGTTTTTAGACAACTTATATAACTGACCTGTATGATATTCTTGACCAAAATTGAGTGTTTTGAAAGCACAAATTTTTTTATTTTTATTAAATTTATATATTTACTGTGTGTATAAAACAATAAAGTACAATATGTTCAACTAATTAAATAATTTTTATTTATCCTTAAATTTAATGAGATAGTAGTATAGTTATGATTTTCGATATTTTTTTATATGATCATTAAGGTTTTGAAAAAATAAGTTGTACATAGAATGATTAATTTTAATATTTTAACGGTCTAGAATAATCACTATAAGATGTCGAAACAGAATATAATTACCAATTGCTAAGAAAAAAAAAAAAAAAATTGTGTAAACTATAATATTATGTAATAATAGTTATGATTTATATATTATAATTGTATGTGTTATGATGATATTGCTACGTTGTATGTACAAATTATATGTTATAGTTCAGTTTTATGATCAGTAAATATAATTATATAATATCGTCGTGTACAAAAAGTTTTGTATTGTTTACCTACCTTTATTGTTTCAATTACGATATCTACCGTGACATTATTATTTAATCCTAAGGATTAAACATTTGAATAATTTTATTCAAAATTAAAATTCACTAGACAATTGAGTCTTGGACCATGCGTTAAATTGTATCCCATACCAAGGTATGCAGAGTGCACCATCGTTCGTCGACATCCAACTTTGACCATTTAGGTATACAGTATGTCTTATAAGTCCCGTATCACCCTTAATATCTCCACGGGAAATCAATATAATTAAACACGGTTTTTTTTATAATACTTAGTATGGAAATTCTAATTTAATGGCATAAAATTCAATTTCTTTTTTAAAAAATTCAAAAATTCAAAAAAAATTTTTTTATGCATTTAAGAATTTTTAAGATATTCATTTTCTTGAGCATATTTTTTAAAACAGTTTAAAAAAAAATAATATTAAAATCAAATTTATGCAAGACGGTGCACCAGCACATAATTCAAATACTGTGAGAGGTTGGCTGGACAAGCACTTCCCGGGAGAATGGATAGGAACATCGGGTTCAGTGTTTTGACTACCTAGGTCGCTCGACTTAACACCAATGGATTATTTTTATGGGGTTATTTGTAAAATTTTGTATATCCGTCGTGTTCATTGCCTGATCTCCGTGACAAAGTTGAACAAAATATTCAAAATATTTTACCTGAGACATTAGAAAATGTTGAAAACACTTGGATATAAAAACTTCAGGTCTGTGTTACAAACAATGGAGGTCACTTCGAACATTTATAAAAAAGAATGTAATACATTATTTTTGTTTTTACGTAATAACATTTTTTTTTCTACTAACAATCAAATTTAAAAATATTATATGAATTTGAATTTTAATTTTTCCAAAAAGCTCCACTAATAATTAGATATTTACAGATTGCCATAAAAAATCAGCGTTCCAATCGAGATTGATTAAATCTAGCAATTCGTGTTTTGCTACGTAACAACTATTATTATAAATATTCAAAAACATAACTTGCTCTAACTCGGTAATTTTTTATTAAATTTTAATATTTTTTTTTTTTAACTGTTTTAAAAAATATGCTCAAGAAAATAGCTATCTTAATAATTGAAAATTCTTAGATGCATACAATTTTTTTTTTTGAATTTTCGAATTTTTTTTAAAAAAAAAATTGAATTTTATGCCATTCAATCAGAATTTCCATACCAGGTATTGTTAAAAAAAAAAACCGCGTTTGAATATATTGATTTCCCGTGGAGATATTAAGGGTGATACGGGACTTATGGGACATACTGTACAACAACATGAAGTCGAGTCATAAATCATAAGCCGACGGCCACCCCAGTGCGAATGTAAATAATCTTTTACGCGGTGTACATTATTGTTAACGGTTTACCAACAGTTTGTGCCGGGTTTGGTAGGTCGTCGCCGAAACGACGTCGACGCACGTTTCATGAAAAACATATTATCATATTCTCTTGACGACCTAGCAAATAGGTGTTTATGCCGCTGAAACGTGCCAGAAATATCGTTTACGTACATGACGTTTCCGCGACGATCCGCGTACGGAACACGTAAGAAAATTACAAAACGCGCATGCCGCCGTGCACGCACGGCCGGCGGTCGCATTGTCACACCGTTATTACTAACTTTTCCTTCGCGGGCACCGTGTCCATTTTCGCGTTTACGGAATTTCGGGAGCGTGAAAAATAATGCTCACAAATTACACACCGAACACGTACCTATTTCGCGCCGGTAGAAATAAGTTCGTCCGATCCGATCAAACATTTACAAGATGACGATAAGGCGCCGTCTCGCGCGCGCGGGCGTGAACAGACCGTGTCACGATTGTCGGTTAGCGTAAACGGTTTCGAGGTCGAACGGATGATTGGAGGGTTCGAGGGTGACGGATGTGTCGAGTGGACGGGTGGGGCGGGGGTAAGATTCGACAGCGGGTAAGCGACGGGTACGGCGTCCGCGACGAAAGACAAACACAAAAGGGTACCGGAACGGTAACGTCACCGGCGGAGTGGTTGACGGGAGGCGAGGGACAGGAGTTTCGGCGATGACGGGCGCGTTGTCCCTCGCCGGCCAGTCGTCGTTTCGGCGCCGCGTTCGCTCGTGCAGCCGCCGTAGTCTCATCCGACGGTGCGTCGCAGGGCCACGGGGCGCCCGTAGAGTACCATGGACGCGCAGCGACCGCGGGCCCGTTTCCACCTGACGCCGTTCCAGAAGTTCTGCGTCCGATGGAGCGTGTTCTATGACTCGTCCTCGGACCGGCTGTCCAGGGTTGAGACGACGCTGCGCGTGTACCAGCTGACCACCATCATGGTCACGTCCGGGCTGACCATGTACCCGATACTGTTCGAGGACAACAAGAAGGCGCTCGAGTCGCTGACGTACTTCATCATCTGCGCGTTCCTGCTATCCCTGATCGTGCTGGCCATCCGCACCAAGCGGTACAACCGGGCCATGCTGCTGATGGTCGAAGACGAGTTCCCCGGCTACGGTGGGCCCGTGCCGGACGCGCTCCGGCGCAAAATGTCCGCGATACGCTCGTCCTACGGCCGGTTCACCATGCACATAATTGTCTCGTACCTCGCGCTCGTCGTGTTCGAGATCCCGGCCACGGGCATGGTGCCCCTGGTCGCCGCCAGCTTCACCGATGCCAAGTTGGGCTCGCAGTCCACGCAGATGGTGGTCATGTGGTTCCCGATGGACACGTCCGAGGTTGTATGATACGCGCGCACCACCACGTCCTATACACACGTTTTCACATTTTTTTTATTTTTTCATTTATTATAAATCGCCGACAGATCCGCCACTTAGAAACGCAACGACGTCGTTGTTCGAGTGGTGGACATCGTGTGCGCCTCAGCAGAAGCACACGCTTACGGCCGTTGTCCGAACACGGGGCCCGAAACCAATACGGTACCGAATCCTCGAAACATGGTCATTAATACCAATAGGCAGGATAGGAAATCACTTAATGACCACTGTTATTGTGGTACTCCGGATTTGTACGAACATTTTTTTTTTTTAACACAAATTTCATCGTATAAAACAAATACAAGCAAAATATGATCGAATAAATACAAGATATCTATAGAGATAATGCGTGTATAACATTGTAATTTAATTCGTGAACATTTAAAAGTAAATTGTAACTATGAATTTGTTTCACACAACTCATGCGTGGAGGAGGCTGCTTTTGACAAGGTGTTACATTTTTTTATTTCGCCCTTAAAATGTTCGAATCAGGCCCTGCCTCGGAGACAACGGTCGGAAACAGCGCACACTGAAATGTATCACTGCTGATAACTGTAGGTGTTAAACTTCATGGATCATAGATCGTAAAGCGCGATCTCAACGGTCCTCGCGTTGTTCATTTTATTACATCTCTGTAATAAGTGTCGGTCGTCAACATGTGCCTGGTCTACTTATTGACCAACTGCTTGACCGGCTACAGAAAAGTTCTAATACACTTTCATTTCATCGTTCGTCGTGGTAGAATTTCAAATTGCCATAACAGTATCAACTGTGTTACGATTTCTTCGAACCAATATTAATTTTTAATCGACGTTCGCGAATGAAGGAAGAGATAGTTGTTCTTTTAGACGACGGTATATTATAACTCGGGGTAAAAAAATAAGAGTTTGCTTTTTCCGCATACGTGTACACACGCGTGCACGCTCACAACGTGGTTGACGGATTCTTGTTGGAATCGTATTACAAAAGCGCAATTATTCGCTAGGGACTAGGTTTTAGTTTTCAACTTCAGTAAACAGCACTGCACGAAATACCGAAAAGAGCACACGAGCAGGTGTTTGGAACACAGTTGATGTTATGCTGTTCAACAAAGAGCAAATGGTTACATTTTTATTTCGTCTTTTATTGAACGCTCAACGACTTTCTACATGCTAGAATTATTAAAAACGCACAAAAATATTTAAAAAAAAAAAAAAAAATGGCAATAAATAAAACCGCACAAACTCATCAATTCGGTATTTTAAACCAAATATTAACATTAGTGTGATATTTTAGAGATCGCATTGGTCTGATCAGCGGGATCATTCGTAAAAAAACAAAAAGTATCGCTGAATATTACACGAAACGTTTGAACTCGATATTTATATATCAAAAGCGCTTAGACGAATTAATCATTCCTTACAGTAATTTCATCAAAAAGTTTTGATTTTCTTTTATGTTACAAGCCATAGTAATTATGTAACGAGAATTTGTTTCCAACGCCTCAATTCGTAAACCCGATATCGTAAGAATTATCTTGTTGTAAAGTTGAAAAGTTTCTACAATAGTTTACCAAGTTTAATAGTGATCAGTATTAAACTTTGTGTTGTTTGAATATTGAAAAGTGTCGTGTTGTCGGATAATGTGTGACGTGAAAAATTAACAGCGAGTCGTCATCAAGTTTCTTGTGAAATCCGGCGGAAAATCAGCCGTGATCTTCTGAAAATTGAAATTCATGTTGGATGATGACTGTCACAGTCACGTATAATAGTTTTTTATCAGTAGAAACATTTCAACGTTCAACTTCTGGATCTTTTCAAAGTAGAAGGAATCATAAAATGACATTGTTATAAGGATTTCTGAAATCATTCAACGAGCTGTAACGTCAGTGTTTTAATAGTCTAACTTCTGAAAACTTTCAGGGATATTTTAAAAAGTAAAAAAAAAAACACTGAAACAAGTGGATTTGACTCAATGGAGAGTATTGCGAGGACATAAATGCATAAATGTATATAAATAAAAAAAATCCCATTTATAAAATAAAATGTTTCCTTATTTAACTGCCACGCCTTGTAATTATTGAGATAAATATATTTTATCTAACCTTAGCTATCTGAAACTATCTGTAATCACAGGTTCATATATTACATTCAGGTACTATTACTACCTCTCTTCTATTTCCAATACGAACCATAATAGGTGATCGCGCTTACTTGAAATTTTATTTATAAATATTTTTTATTTATCATTTTATGAATAGTTTATATTTTTTATTTGTATAAAAACTTCTTTTGTTCGATTTATTATTTGTTTTGTAGCCTTAAGGATATTTTTATTTAAAAGAAATTTATTTTATTTTATGTTTTCTATTTTTTAGTTACGACAATATTGATTTGTGGTCAATTACCGACACCTCAATATGCCGATATGACAAATTAAGTTAAAAATATTTAGTTTCGCAGTGGATTTATACTAGTAGTAAAATTAATTAAACAATTTTTATGACAGATGGTACAATAATTTATGTAAAATGTATGATAGTAGTAACGTATTCTGTGATAGCTATAAGGTAAAATATGCATACACGACATCACACAAAGAAGCTTAAAAGTGTAGGTAAACTCGCGAAAATAATTATTTTTGTTTGAAGGCACTCAAAAAACATTAATACTTTTAACGTAGATTTGTGTGCCAGTTACACTATAGACATACATAAACTTTGAATTTCTTTTATTTTTAGAAAATTTAATCAAAGAATAATCTTGATAAATGAAGTGTACGCTAATGATGTATGATTTGGATTGTTGTAGAATGTTGATGAAATATCGGTTATTTAAATAACAGTTATATTGCGAATTCACTAATTGGCCTATTATAATCGAATACTATGATGCACTTTTTTCTCTCGGAATGTAAATTTGTACAAATATCGAACCATTCAGCTATCGTGTGGCTGATCAATGATGGATCGAAGTTGTTGCAACCATCAAGTAGATGACCGTTGTAATTATTTTTTGATTGCTGCGTCATCGCAGAGAAAACTGATCATGTATTAAAAGCCATTGACTCCAATTTAATCACGTTACTTGCTTAACGTATATGCAGAGAAGGATAGAGAAATGTATTCAAATTTAAATTAATTACTTAAATAATATGAATGAAATATCCCATTCCATATCTTATAGTTTACATAGTTTATGAGTATAAGGGATGTCTGATGTTCTCATACCTCCAGAATCTGTATCAACTACATGGAATCTTTATTAGTTAGATTCTGATGTATGATTTAACTTTAGTTAATTTAATAAGTAACCTCAAGATATTAAGTAATTAAAATTTAATTCATTAGAAATACTTATTAATTTAATTATTTTTTTACTATCCATACAACAACCATCAAAAGTTAAGAAAAGTCAAATATACCTCTATATTTAATGTAATACATCTTGTTGAAAATATAATATTGTACAAAAAATAGAACTCTGATAGATAGGAGCATTTCACAATAAAAATACTTGAACATGGAAAATTAAGTTACAAAAAATACTCGTCAACATGTTATTCATTGGGAAGATCTTTTATGTTGATTCACGTTTAAGGCGTTTGACTGAATTACTGAGAAGTCGTATGAAATAAAGGAGAGCGATGAAACTACTGGGAAAAATGTTCCGTTTTGAGACAACATTTTAATACAAATACCTCATACTTAATAATCTATGTAAATATTTAGTTTGAAATATGTTGTCATTTGCTTAGTTCTAAAAGGTTAATAAAAACAGACTATTCTTTTTATAAAAATAAATACTCGGGTATCTTCCTATTTATTTTTATGACACTATTTTAAAATTTAAATGCAGAAATGTTAAAAGAGAGTACAATTTTTTTTTTTAATTTCAAACAATGAATAAAAATACATCTTATGTACTACTTATGTGAAAAGAATAATAACAATTTTGAACAATTTGGAAATTAAATAATTCTAAGGTGTTTTTTGTTAATGTTTTTTTAAGCAAGGTATTATATTTATAAAAGTTCATCTTTTTTTTTTTTTTTATGTTGTTATAAAAGTTCCAAAAAGTAAATTTAAAGCTATTCGTTTTTTGTTTTATTTTTTTATTTTTTTACTATAAAATATTAATTATTTCTGTTTAGACGGGGAAAATAATTTGTATAGTCTTTGTAATAGTTTATAATTGTGTATAGTAGTTGTACCTATCCCCTTATACGTATTAGTAAAATTTTTTATTTTTTATTTAGATTAACCATATTTTTCCAATGTTTTATTTCACTGATTTTGGTTCCGTCTTTTCTTCATTTGAGTGACAATTTTTCTTCAAGCGATGTATTATCACATGTAATAACCCAAAAATAAAAAGAAAAAATAAAGAAGATGAGAAGGGGAAAAAATCAGAGAGAATTAATGAAAGATAGTGGTTAGTTATAAATATGGGTAAATAATTTTGTTGTTGTTTCTATGACTACTCGTACTTGAACATTTTACGGATCTTAGTGATTCTGTGAATATGATATAATTATTATTAATTTTTTGTGTTAATTGAAAATAAGCTGCAATTCCAGTACCTTAATCGGTTATTGATGCGTAGGTATAAAAATATTTATAATTTGGGTTTTCTTCGATTATTTCAAAAAAAATGTTGTTTATAAGTCATGTATTTTTTTATTTATTTATTTTTTTTTTGTAGCTGTTTTTGTTGGCTAAAGATGTATTTAGAGACATTTTTTTTATTTGTACATTTCTATTCATTTTTATTTTATTTGTTATACATTTTTTATTAATAATATATGATCAGAATATGTTTATATTTTATGTAATGAAATAAAATAAATCAATAAACAATAATATTTTATTAATTATAGAAAACTACGAGTATCTGGTCCAAAGACCATAAACACTGCATATTTTATAACTACGTATTTCGTCTACATTTACGTAAAAATAAATTATTTACAAATAAAAAAAATAATAATAATGGTAATCCGATAAAGGTTCAATATTTGAAATATTATTTACCACATACATATTCATGGACTTTCCTGAACAAAAATCTATAAAAACAAAAATCAGTCAACTAAAGCGGGTCACACACGTCGAGTTAAAACTGAGCGATTTGATTGTACAGATAAATCATACGTGTGTAGGTTAACAAGAGGTAATTTTTAAAACTGTACAGTTGATCGAAAATAAATTGAAAACACCTATTGATAAAACTGTGGTGATTAAACTGTACAGTTAAGACGATGCGTGTGTAGACAAAAAGTTCAAAACTGTACAAGTTTTAATTTTAGTAGTTTAATGGTAAACTCCTCGTTTAAGTTTATTAAAAACTATGTTTAATAATAAGTTTTTAATAATTATTGAAATTGTGTTTAAACTTTAAGACAACAACATAGGTGTAAAGGTAACAGAGTTAACAGCATAGATACCGGTCGAAAACAAGTAAAGCAATTATTATTATGTTCAATATGTTCAGTAACACTGTTTACATACATTTTGATAATGAAATTTGTAATGGGTTCGAAACGTCAGTACACTAATGAAAACTTGGATATATATTAAAACGAAAATTATCTTATTATCATCCAATAAAATAAAAAATATCACAATATCAACCAATGTAACAAAAACCATTGTACTATCAACCAATAAAAAATTTAACAAATTCATATTTACTCTTGTATTGCAATAAATAATAATTAATATATGCAATAGCAACAAGCCAAGCATATACAATAAAATAAAATAGAATTATAATTAGTACGACCTGTTATTGTCAGGTTAATTGTAAAAATAATTAAAATACAAGCACAAATAAAACAATAATGAAGTAAACAAGAATAAATTATAATATATTATATGTATAAAAAAATAATTGTATAAAATGTATGAAACAATGACAGAAATAAATTACAATTATTAAACATTGATTACAATAATACATTTTTTAATAATAATAAAGAATGACCCGTGGTAGGTTAATTTCAGGTGGTCCCCATATAATGTCAGTTAATTGTTTGTTATTTATTAGTTTATAATATTTTTTATGTTGTAGATTAAGTGGCGCCCTGAAATGGGCTAAACTCCTCCCATCCACTACATGGTTGTGAATAATAGTATGAATCATATGTAACAGAAATTTGATTTATTCGAATGCATTTTATCTCAGGAGTACCTATGATTATTTTGAATTTGTTATAACTCAATGTTGTGACTTCTACAAATTTGTAAATGTACATACATTTTCTTAAGTTATGTGTAATCATTTCTCATAATTCTAGATAGATTTTAAAATATTTTTTATATGAACGTTCAGCATTAATTTAAAGAAAATTAATCCGGCCCCTTATGGTCACAGCTGATTAGACTGGTTAGTCTTTACACTTAACTATGATAGGTGATAAAAATTAATATTTTAAATAAAAACCTTAAGTGATAATGAGAAAAATTATTATCATAATCTTTATTATATAGAAGAGACTCCTCAATAAAATAACAAAACTAACGGATAACCTGTGATCCGCTCATTAAGATTTAAGGCCCCATATTCTTGGCAACGAAAGTATTCAAATAAATACTGACTCATTATTACAGTCACCTTTACTTATAATATTTATTATTGTCGCCATACCGGGTAGTGACGTATAGAATATACAGAATCATATATAATCATATACCGACGAAGTAAGTTTCTACATAAGCCTGTGTCAAGTAATCTGAAACAGTTTAGTCCTTCATTATAAGTTTTAATTATATACCATAGAACAATTAAAATTACCGTACGATAACTTCATAAAAATATTTTATGCACCAATTTAAAGATGATAAACTTACAAATCGGTGAATTACATGCGAAATGTACTGATAAATTCACGTGAATCTCATATTCGTTATACTCATATATTTAATAATATAATATTTATAAACTTGATGGTTGATTAAACGACGAACTATTGCTTCTCGATTAATACAGATAACTGTGATTCAAATATTGTAGATTTTTTGACATTCATATGTATGTAATTAGATTAATTCGTTAGAGACACTTAGGCCACGGCTACCACACGATTACTCAGATTACATTTTAACGAAGCCGTTGATATATTATACTAGGTAAATTGTTATTTTATATATTACATCAAATTTTTTTTTTTCAGATAAAAATGTACGCGGTGTCAATGGTCATTCAGTTTTTTATCGTGTTGACTGTAAAGTTCATAATTACCGGTATCATGTGTTCGTTTTCGTTTTTCGTCAACCAAATGATTACCGAGTTTCAAATACTGGCCACGTTCATCGAGCACGCCACTGAGATCGTGGAGTACGATCGGTCCACCAACAGGACCACCGAGCAGAAGCTCTTGGATCACTTGAAGATGTGCACCAAGCTCCACAACCGTTTGATATTTTACAAGGACCAGCTGAACGAGAGCTACGGGTTCATCATACTGCTCGAGCTGATGTTCAGCACGTTGTACTTCTGCCTGTCCGCGTTCAACATGATATTCGTCGGCAACAAGTTTGTGATGGTCAAGGGCCTGCTGACGTTGAGCAACTACTTGGCCGAGCTGTTCATCTTCTGCATGTATGGCAGCATGGTCGAGGACGCGCACATCAACTTGCTGAGAGCCTCATACAACTCAAAGTGGTACGCGCAACCGTTGCGCAGCAGGAGATCATTGATGATGGTCATGTACAGGTCGCAGACGCCGTTACAGTTGACAGTCGGCAAGGTGTTCATAGCCAACTTGCCGTTGTTCCTGTCCGTGCTAAAGGTCTCTTACTCGGGCGTCAATGCGCTAAGGGCAGCGAACGCCAAGTAAAGAGAGAGAGAGAGAGAGAGAGAGAGAGAGAGAGAGAAACAAAGAGAGAAAGGGGTATAAGAGTGAAGATACATCGAAACTGTTCTCGTTATCGATACAAAACGTATACAGTATAGAGCAAAAATACTAAGTCAGGTAAAAACTGTACGTTGGAAACATTTATCACGGCTAAAACATATCGTTTATCATAGGTAAGGCTAAGTGCGGTCAAAACGATTGCCTATAAACAGTACTCGCTGACTTAGTACTTCTGTTCCACTCTGTATGTATTATACATTCTTACAGTGGTTTTGGTAGGCTACAAATAAAATTTTCTGTTTGTGACCATAGCACGCACATATCGATGATATATTATGTAGTGATATTTTAATATATACGGTAACGGTTGGTCCCGTATTTGCTCAAGATCGTCTACTCGGGTGCCGCGTTGACTTGTGCGCAACTAGGGCCTAAATATCAGGGTTGCTGAAAATGTTGAAAATAAAATTGAAAGGTATTTCACTGTAATTAATATAGATTACATAGATCTGAAGAAAAAAAACATCAGTGCTACATTTGAACTCAGGGATGTTATGAACCCTATTGCACCCCTTAATTGCGTATGTACAGATTGAGACAGAGAATGATAGAGAGTTCTCGTAGTCGATACAATACACTTAACATTGATCTTGTAGACTTCGCACATTTTTTATTTGTTTTCATTGCACACGTATAGGTATTACATGTTGTATTTAATTTTAGTATGTACTTAATCGTTAATATATGCTCAAAAAAAATATTGTTAAATATAGAAAAATGTGTGGATCACGTGAGCAGTACCTGTTTTGTTCGCGTCCATAGTACAATACGAGAACGTAAAATTCTTGTACAATAGATATTTTATAACTTCACATTTGAGCATATAACATCTTGTCAGTATGTGACGAGAAAAAATAAACAATAGAATAATTTTGCAAAGACAACAGTAAAATAGGTAGTAAAATAAATCTTGCGACATGAATTGTTAAAAATATACTAAAATTCAAACCAAAGCGAAAAACGAAATTGGTATTTTATTTATTTATATTAAATATTTTTAAGAACATTAGAATAATAAAGTTGACTTACAAATGCGATGTGAATATATGGAACGAATATTTGATATTAAATGACATTTCACAATTTACACCCAAAATAATTCAGTAAATATTTTACAGCTTTACATACACGAAATCTTTGTAGGTAAAAGCATTTATTAAAATTTTAGTGCTAGTTCACGAGGTAAGTACTTTTTTTAACGCGACACCAGCAAAAATAATTAATGTAATGTAGACCCTACGTAATTACCGGGGTTCGAGTCATGTAGCATTTGCATAAATTTTGTTATTTATTGTAAAATATAGCTGTGTACGAGATAAATTCAATTCTCGATGTCATGATTTCAAATACAAAATTTGAATGTGCATATTTTTGCATATTTCATAGATTCTACAGAAAAGTGCTTATATGTACCTTTTTTGTGCTTATTTTATATATTTTGACAAATGATTAAAATCTAAAAATTATACAAACTCCAGCCGATCGATAAAATAAAATATTAATGCAACCGTATGTACCTACAATGTGGGTCCTACATATTTGCAATTCTCAACTCACAGTTCGTTATAATTTTCGTGTTGGAAAAATAACTTAATTGTTAAGCTAGCTATTCACGTTCCGTTTTGCCGGAGAGATTGGAATGCACAGTTTTTCGAGAACGTGCGTATGGCAAATTTGTGCAGTTTTCGAGGACTGTACATGTGGATGAAAATATTTCAAAAACAATTCTCTTGATATGGACAATTATTACTTAACAAGCACATACGCTGTACCATTGTGCGACCGTTGGTTCGGTTTGTTTGTTCGTAATTATGGCGTCGTTTTTCGCTGTTTTTTTTTAATTTACGTAATTATTTACAATTTTACTTGATAGACATACTTAAAAATATTCCTATTTTATTTAGATACATAATAATAAAAAATATACCGTAAGATTTTGGAAGAATTAATCATTTTGTATATTTGTATATTCGTATCCTAATCTATGGCAAATAAAATCAAAATAATATAATGATTACTAAGCTTACCAAAGCTACTACGTCGTCGTCTAGTTCTTTAGTATTTATCACTTATTATTGTGTTTTTAAGTGCTAAAAATCCTGAACCTTGGTAATTAATAATATAAAAAATAAAATTTTTTTTTTAATTTTAAGAAATCTTGAGTACAAATTTGTGATTTTTAGATAATTATGAAAATTATAATTTTTGGATGGTAATAAAATCATCAGTCGTTGTTGTCTCGGTTTAAATTTTTTTTATACATGTATTTTTAAAAGTATTCTCTCAAAAATAAATTTGAAAACATTAGTTTTTTCAAAATATAAAATACTAATTATATAAAATATAAATTTAACTTTATACAATTTACATAAATCAATTATGTCCAAAATTAAAATATCTATACTCACCATGAATAAATTCTACTCTTCGTAGAACGAAAAACTAAGTGAATTTGTTCACTTAGTTTATGATTAATAAATCAGTACAAAATAAATTATTAGTAACTGATATTTAAGGATAAAGAGTAGTATAATGCAAATTACTAAGGCATTATTTAGTCACAAAATGCATTAATTATGGAAAAAGCTGTTTGTTATAAAAAATATGTAAGTCACGAATCAGTTCAATGAAACATGTCATAAGGTTGTCACAATGTTGTCATATTATTAAAATTATTATAAATACAATAACCTAGGAAATTTAACTATATTATTAATAATCTTTTTGATGTGAATTACATGTCAAACCACGATCAAATATAATTACATCAATTACTTCAAATTTTGCTAATAAAAAAATTACAATAAAAACAATGTTAGGAAAACAAAGGAAAGAAATATTTAGTTAGTAGTGGTAAAAAGGTTAACACTATGAATTCTCACAACATAATTTTATTATTTTTGGCAATATTTGTAACAACGAGTCAACCAATCACCATTGATTTACAATATGAATTAATAGAAAAATTTTTAACAGTCAAAAATATATACGTGGCTATTTTATACTCTTGTTGGTCATTTAAAGGTATAGGATTATATCGTTAATCAATCACATAGTATTTATATAGTGGTTAAGTAATAACTTTTAATTATAGATCGAATGAAAAATATGAAAAAAGCTAATGAAAAAAATATTATGATTTTGTACCGAGGAAAAGAAGATTTCAATAATGATTTCAATTTAAAAAAAGTGCTTTCATTATCATTGTACTCTCCTTTACTGGGAGTAATCGTCGATTGGTCTTGTAATGAAGATTTATCATTTGAGGTATAATTTGGTGCAAAATAGTATTTTCATATTGATATTCATTATTTATTAAACAAAAATCATATTTATAATAGTATTCAAATTTAAAAGAATATTTTTAAATATTTATAAAATACATTCATTACATTCAATTATTTATAATTAAATATTAAAAATAATTGTACATAGTAACATTGCTAAGTATATATTATAGGTAAGCACATTTTACATCATTATATTCTTTGACACTTGAATTTGTGAGTATTACAATTGATATTTTTATAAAAATTACCAATAAAAACCTGCTCAATGTAATGAATTTATGAATTTATAATTTAATTTATTTATTTACTGTAATTTTTTTTTTTGCTGATTAAGAGGTAATAAAGTTGAATATTGTAAGTTTAATTGCTTGTATTTAGATCAAAATTTAATATTCTCATTATTATATACTAAATTATTTTAATAATAATTTACCTTAGAAGAGAATAAAAATAACAATAATTTACCTTATTTTTATTCTCTTCTTCTCTTTCGCCTTTCTCCTAACTATTTAGGGTCGGCCACCTTTGTCTTAATTCTCCACTCGTTTTAATTTTATACATCCCCTACGCACGCACCAACGACCACTAATGGCCAATTATTAATTATAATTTATCTAAACGTTAAAATAAAGAACTTTCTTCTCACAAAAAAACAAATTTATACTATCACATTTTTTTTGATTAAACGTATAATTAGTTCGTTTAATTTTTCATAACAACAATTATCATTATTATTATGGCTATATTATACCATGGAAATTATAAAAAATAAATTAAAACATTATTGGATTCAAAGAATTTAATACAAATATCATAACAATAATTATCAATTTATACTGAAAATATGAGCTTGATATTAAAATAACGTATTTTTTCTTAGTACAATGTATGTATTTAATTTTTTTTTTAAATATGTAACCAATATTTTACAAAATATGTTATTATGGACAAACAATAAACATTTATCATTAGTTAACGTAGTGCAAAATTTTTTTTGGTTATTGTGAAAATTCAAAAAGTTTCTATTTAGTTTTCAGATAATTGGTTATGGAATTCAAGTTATCACTGGCTAATGATAATGGAAAAAAATTCAAATAAAAATATTCGAAGTTTTCTCTCAACAAAAAATATTAACCTCACCGTTTGGAGCGAAGTTTTTTTAGCATATCCTAATAATACAATGTATGGGATTTTTAAAAATTGGCATATTTTTGACATTTATAGAACAGCTTACGAACCTAGAGGACAACTTATGATTGATGTTGTGAATGAAACTTTTGGAAAATGGGGAAATCGAATATGTAAATATGACAAAAGATCAAATTTAGAAAATTTAACATTAGATGTCGTTACTATAGTACGTATAAGTTTATCGCAGACAATAATTTGGTAAAGTAGTATATAATATATACCACTTAACTAAATTATATTATTATATATAGCACATATTATAGTATTAATTGTATTTAGTTAAAAGGTACTGGTTTTAAAATGGTTATGGTTTGAGTGAAATTGGTACTATATAATCCTGTATGAATAATTTTCACTGTAAATCAATTATAATGGATTTGATATATAGTTGAATTTATGCCGATAATAATTTATAAGGTTATAATAATAGCGTTCCATATATAAAAAAAATACATAAAGAAAAAGAGATTTTCTGCGAATTTAGTGTTCACTATTTCCCGAATTCTAATTGTATATAAATTATTTCACTTATTTTTATACTTATGGGTTCAATAATAATAAAAATATTTTTCACAACAATAGAATTAAGAAATATTTTCTATCTACAATACAGCTCAAAAACTACAACAAAAAGAATTATTTTTAAATTTTGACATTAATTAAATTGAACTCTGTTTAAGAATATTTTTTTTTTTTTAATTATCTTTTGATTTTATAATGGAAAGCTCATTACTATACTATTTGGTAGTACGGTGTACAAATATTAAAACAAATGTTCATAACTTATTTATAACATTTAAATGAAAAAACCAGCTTCCAGCATAAAGACAATTATATTGATAATTATAAAAATTAAAATTGTATACATTTATATAAATATTTTATATTATTAAAATATTAATTAATTATTATATGGTTGGTTAAATTATATAATTAATTGATAATTTCATAAAGTACTAGTTATTTTTATATCTTGTAATGTTTTAATCGCATATTAGTGTATTGCACATAATATTTATAACAATAATTTTAAAAGATGCAATATACCTTGGATTTACTGATGGTTCCTCAGCCGAAATTGATTTGTGAAAACTAGTATTGAATAGTTAAAATTAGTTTTGACGAAATTCGGGTTTTAACTGTATATATACATGAAATCTACGAAGTTGTTATGTTTATAAATGGTTATGAAAATATACACGATTGTTACGAAACATCATCTAACCTTTTATGTTGAATGTTTGGAACACTATTCTAAATATCTAAAGGCAAATGCAGCTAGAATATTTGGTTAAGTAGAGGTTCAGATATTTTTCTCTCGATGTTCAACCATTTAATGATTTAATATATCATTTATTATAATCAGTGGCATGCTAAGGCAGGGCTAATATTAGGGGTTATGTTTCCCCATCGTATTTTTTGTTGATCTTCAGAAAACAACTTATTATTTATTAGAGCTCTTTTAGAGTCATTTATATTTATGAGTTAGGTATTGGCAAACAGTTATTACTTATGACTAGGGCAGATGATTTGTATAATTTGCTTATTTGTTTTGCACAATCACAAAAATAACAGAGTACGAAAAATATATGTTGCATGTTTTCACTAAGCTAATCTTGAAATGTTATTTTGCATATAATATAAATGCATGTTTCGAGTTTTTAGTTTTAAGTGCATATTTCTTCCATTTCATACTTTTAGATGTATATTTCAAATAATTTATCATTTCATTAATACTTTTTTGCCAATGTTCTTACTTCATCTAATATACAATCAAAATATTATCGAATTAAAAATAATTTTAAATGTTAATCATATTATACGGATGGTTGTTGACTGTTCTCAGATGCACGTTTTTCCTAGTAATACGTTTCCAGGATCAGCAATTAGATTAATTTAATTCATAAACAGTAAACATGTAGCTTACATAATACATTTTCCATTAGGACGTTAACGATTCCATAAACGATACCAAACAATTTCATTGCACTGACTTTTGTCGGTGTTTGTAAGTAATTTAATATTATAGTCATTTAGCCATAGTTCTGCAGTCTGCGTATATGCGTTTATTGGTAAGTTGTGTCAAATGTTCGTCTTTGTGTATTGTTTTAATATTAAAATGTCTGAAGATATGTAGCCTTTTAACAATCATTTAAAGAGCTATTTATCGGAATTTGGTGTCGAAGTGTTTCCAACTGACGGTTAAGTCCTATACTGTAAGTATTGTGATGTTAAAAGTAGGATATGAAAAGCGATTTAATGTTACGCAAAATTTAAATTATTTATATTTTTTACGAATAAATCGTTTTAAAAAAATATAAGAGCATATTTTTAGTGCATATTATAGGGTTTTTAAGTGCATAAGTGTTTGCATATTTAGTTTATTTTTAGAGCTACAAGTCTTCTGCCCTACTTATGACTCACTATAAACATTCCCATAACAGACTATGTACAATTGGCCATAGGCGTGCGCACGAGTACGGCTTATACGGCATGTGCTGTACCTGTAATCTGTATTAATATTTAATCCCTTGAATTTCGGTTTCTTAATTTTCTCAAAAAATTATATTTTTATTTTTTTATTTTTTTTTCTACTTATATAAAGTTCGTTGTTCTGCAATGTCTGTGAATGATGAGAAACGCCTTAAAAAATATTCGGTTATTTCCTTTTCTTTATTACCTACATAAGTTCCCATGTCGATAACTCAATTCTGATAATACGATTTGCATCAAAATGTTATAACAACACGATAAATCAGATTTGGAAATGGAAAAACTCGAACTACTAAATTCAGTTGGTTAGATAACAGGATTGAATAATACTCTTTCTCAATGAAGATCCAATGACAACGACTTTGAAGTGGTATATGATGATACATTTCACATTCTTGTGCTGAATTTGATAAAAAGGTTCCTAAAGTTGAGAAACGGTCAATTTCATGTATATTTGGTCTTAATGCAAATATATAACATGAAATAGAATCTAAAAAAGAAGAAATGACGTATTCTTGTTTTTCTTGTAATATTAGATGAAAATAATTTTGATTCACGATTTAATCAGAAACATTTAATATAATTTCTCAATTTGAAAATTTAGTACATTTTACTAGCACTGACAATGATTAGGCTTGTTCTTCAAAAATATTTATATTAGTATTGATGAGTTAAAAACTGAAATCAGACTATTAAAAAATATTCCAAACACAGAATTTTCTAGATGTTCATCGCTGTAACTTAGGGCTAGTATAAATCAAGAAGCATTTTGAGAGCTTTTTTTTTATTAGTACCAATCAAGAAGTATATATGGAACTTGATTATCGAGAAATAATTAAAAAATGCAAAGCATTAGTTACAGGAAATCACCGATTAACTTTATAATTATTTGTTACACATTGTGTATGTTAAAATTGATTGAATTTAATATTGTAATATTATTTAACATTTTCAATAATATGTAAAATTTTTTACTTTTACTATAGTATTGTCACAAAACAAAAAATACCTAAACCAGTGGTTCTCAATCTTTTTAGGACCGCGACTCAAATTTTCTTCCAAAAATCTATCGCGACCCCATAGTTTTACATTTACAGAATCAATAAAAATAATTTTAAAAAACAAATTTTTTCTATTTTATTACTTATTTACTACTTTATAATAATAATAATATAATATTTAGTTAATAATTAGGTGTATGTAATAAATGTGTTTGTTTCTTAATATCTGTATTATTAAAAAAACTTCTCGCGACCCCCCCAAAAATTGACTCACGCCCTAAACTGATTACTTATAAGAAAAAATTGTGTCGTAACTGTACCACATTTCTGCATACGCCTATGATATTAATATAATATACTATACTATACTGTATAATAGTATTGTTTAACTGAACAACTTGGTATTAGTGTGTTATAATGTAAATTAATTTTAATTATAAAACAATTCACAAATGTACAAAATTATACACTAAAAACAATTCTGAAGGGCTTGAAACATAAAGTCTCTTATTTTTGTGTGTTTAGTATTACCACGAAAATTAATTTAAGTATATTATTATACCCACAGTCCATTGAAAATTCCAGGGCATGCCACTGATTATAAATGAATAAAAAGAATAACTAAACCAAAATCAATCTTGTTATAATATTCTAGGGAAACGCTTACGGTTCTGCGACTAAAACAAATAGCACGAGTATTACAGCATCTAACAAAGAGCTGGTCAAGTATTTAAGAACATATAATTTGGATCGCATGAATTACGGGCAAAAATTTTCTTATGCTATAATGTACTCACTAACAAGAAATGTATTGAATCTCACGTAATTATACCATATGCATAATATTATTTTAATTAAAATCAAATAAACTTTATCTTATATTCATTAACAGGATGTATATTAAAACGACAAATTCATGGGGTTACAAGACCAATAACAAATGGGACGGAGTAATTGGAATGTTAATATCCGGAGAAGCAGATTTTTCAGTAATACTAAACGCGATAAGACCCGAAAGATTAGAAGTAGTCGAATATTCGGCTATTACAACATGGGAACATTGGTATGTAATGTGATAAAATATAATAAATTATACTTCAAATTAGTTTCAGAACAAAAGAATACTATACAGCTTACAGTAATTAATGATATTGGATATATTTATGTATTCACACAGCCCTTCTTTTATTTTTCGTCAACCTCGATCATCGTCAACGTCCATGAATATATTTTTACGACCGTTCGAAATGAACGTTTGGTTTGCTATAATCGGTTTAATGTTACTCTCAACACTTGTCTATTATACAATAATATATTTTGAATCCAATGAAGTATTCATATTGAAAACGTTGAGCGATATTTTCTTGTTAAAAATTGGCACGTTATGTCAACAAGGTAATTTTTATTTAATTATTTATTAGATTTAGAACAAAACTACATTCGATCATTTTTTAATGATTTTTTTTTTTTATAATTTAATATAAACTAATTTTCTCTTAAAAATAATATTTAGAAGTTGTAATTTTCATTCAATTTCTAAATTTAAACACTAAACTTCAATTAAATCCATTGATTTCATGAGAGCTTAATTCGGTTATATAATGCACAAATCAATTATACTTTTCTATATTAAATTAATTTTATTATACTTGTATGAAAATTTTCACTAATCAAATGTTGTTGACATTTTAATTCAAAGTAATCCTAAATAAAAATCATGTCACGCACAAAAGTATAAAATAATTTCTTTCTATTTTTTTTTTTTTTTGTAGGCACAGTCATGGAACTCACAAAGCTTAGTAATAGGTTCATTGTCCTATTGATGTTTCTGTTTAGTTTAATTGTGTATCAGTTTTACTCTTCAAGTATAGTGTCTGGCTTATTGCGTCCTACAATAATTAATATTGACTCTTTACGAGAACTAGATGAAAGTGGGTTGGATGTCGGCATAGAAGATTATAACATTGTTACTAAATTAGCTAATGTAAGATTTTCTATAGCACACGCATGATTGAAATAATTGTATTTACATTATTAATTTTCTTTTATATATTTTCTTTATATATGTATATTATAATATAAGATGGCCGCAGAAACCAATCCATACATGAAGAAAATTATCGACAAGAAAGTTAAGCCAAAGTCAGAGTACCTTTTTGCCAAAGACGGTGTGAAAAAAGTTAAAAAAGGTCACTATGCATTTTACACTGATCCGGCATCCAGTTATTGGTTCGTAAATGACATTTTTACCGAGAAAGAAAAATGCGATTTATCAGAATTACCAATAACCAGACCAGAAGTAACCGGCTTTTTGGTTCAAAAAAATTCTCCGTACAGAAAATTGATAAATATTGCGTAAAAATTTGAATTGAAAAATATTTCTGTGGGTTTTCATATATTTTGAATAAAGTATTATTCCTATTTCAGAGGCAACTTATTATTAGAAACTGGCATTATGGACAGAGAACTTCAAATATGGTATGCTAAAAAACCGAAATGCGTCGCCGGGAAAACCACAACAGAAGAATCGTTAGTTAGCGTTGGTATTAAAGATATAATATCACTTTATATTTTCTTATTAGTTGGTTTTATTGTTTCTATCATAACCTTATTGTTGGAAAAAATTATTCATCACCTTATCAATATAAAAAAACAAACGGATACAAACAGATCCATCGTTTTACAAAAATAATTGATTACATTAACTTCGTGATTATAGATCGAATTAAATAAAACCCTCCAACCAAATAATTTCAATGTATTAATCATATATTTCAATTTTTCATATAATGTGATACAATTGTTTCAGTAATTATAGAATTGTTGTATCCAATATTTAGTATTTTTATTGTAATCTAAAAAAAATTTCTGTACGTGTATGACGTATAATATGATTACAATAAATATTTAATGTATTAATTGAAGCCCCAGACTACTGTTAATATTTTTATAATTGTTTTTTAACGATTTCTGGTAACATATAGAAAACAACCAAAATTCCTTGTGTCTTATTCATCCGGTGGTGAGAACAGAGATAATTTTCGAATTTGAACGTGTTACACGTTATAAGTTATAACTTATAACAATATATTGTCAAGATAAATGAATGCATTGAAAATGTTATATGATGTTGTACACTATTAATTTATATGTTAAGTGAATCAGAACAATTGACGTTCGTATTTTTTTAGGACGATTATGCGTACAATACATATACTTTACACATAAAGGCAATTTAATATAAAAAATAAGTATATATATTGACCATCAATAATATTGATCAATATTCACACTAGGTTTTTAATATCGAACACTTAAGAGTATTAAATAATGTAATTTAGTATTTTTATTTATTTCTTGTTATTATATTATTGCTGAAGTAATAGGTAAAATTAAAAAAGATTATTTGTTTCTAATTGGGTATATCTAGTAATTGTATTATTATTCATTTGTTAGTAAATTGTTAGTAAATATTGTTAGTAAAATAATCGTTTAATTTCAATTAAAATTATACACAAATGATTCAAAGTTAATCACCGAATCGATTTAATAAACAGAGTTAAATTAGAAGAACTGATTAATTTAAATGAATCATATTTCCCATCAAACCAATTGCGGCAAAACGGATCCTGCCGATTCCTGCTAATTAGGTTATTCAAAAATAAAACAATAACTAAATACAGAAATCTAAAAATAGCATAAGACAAAGTCGCTTCCCACTGCCTGTCCCTATGTTTGCTTAGATCTTTAAAACTACGCAATAGATTTTGATGCGAAAAAAAAAAAGAAAAAATAGGAGACTGTAGACCGAAGTCTGTATTATTATTACTATATTTGTATTATTTAATTTGTGTGTGTGATGTGGTACCTTGACAATAAGATTAGATTAAAACCATAATTTATTGAACTGAATAAATTCTGTACGCGAATTCTAAAGACGTGTCTGGAAAACGTCGTTTGTACATAGGTTGTGTAGTACAGTGAATGCCAAAAGAGCACGTTCAGCGGGAGATGAAGAATCATCCGAAATCCAAATAATTTATACGCAATATATGCCGTTATAATAACGCATTCAAATTACGTCTTTCAAGAGTAAGTAAGCCGTTCAGTAACCCGTGGTTTCACGCCTACATTTAAAATTCAAGGGCAAGTGTATCACTTAGCCGAGTACTTGCTACCACCTCGACCCAATGATCACAAATTTCTACAAATTATTTTTATTGCAGACCCAGATAATAGCCATGCGGAGTCGGGGCGGGTCGCTAGTTATTTTAATAAAACAAACATACAATATCGTGAATCTCCCATACGTAAACACGTACGCGTCCCGATCAAAAATCCGTATTATCGCCTAATCGATGTGTTCACGTTCTTAATTTTATGATTTTACAGAATGCTGCCTCAGCTCATTTGCTTCATTTAGCCTATACTATGGAATAAGATACAGTAATCCTTATGACAAAATTGTTTTATTATTATTTTAATATAATAATATTTAAATTTGTATGTTACAAATTGATTAACACAATTAATTGATTGATCAACAATCTCCAATGTTGCAAAAAAAAAATATTTCCTCATCTTTTAAATTTAAAGCTATGAAATATTGAAACGAAATTATAATAATTATATACAAAAATTAAGAAAGATAAAAATTATACTCAGTTTTTGTAATTTTTTGTCTTAACTATTTATGAATATACGTGTAACAAAAAAAATACCAATATGGTCTAACAAGTTGAATAAATAAAATATTTCAAAATATATTTTTTTATTGCAAATTTGTAAAAAAAAAAAAATACAATTAATTATCATAGATATTATAGTTTTATAATGTTATAATTTTATAATTTTTACAAATAAACATATTATGTCCGTAGTATTGCAGTATAATGTATAAATAACAAATAGCTTTGTTAATTAGACTTATTTAGTAATTCATTGTTCTTCCATATGGATAAACCCGTCGCATATGTGGTGCCCATAATCAATAAACATTTACATGATCGTTGTTCCGTCATCCAGAGGATGGCTGTCAATGAATTGATGGAATTCCATGACACCATTGTTGGCACTATTGATGCAAAACAGCATGATGATGCATCTGTTGTAAGCGATCAGTATATGCCTTGGGTGCGTGCTTTGTACCACGTCGACGCTACGCTATGGCAACTAGCGTATCTTGATGAAAATAAATGGTATTAATTTCAATATATTAATATTTTACACAATATTAAGATTGTAGTTTTAAAAATAAAAATAGATAAATAATTATAATTCATATATAGAAAAAAGAATTTTGAGTGTGATTTAAATTTTGTTACATAGTGTATGTATATGTAATAAAATAAAAACATTTTTTTTTCTCATTATGGTTATCACTGGTCTGATAATCTTAAAATTAAATTAAATGTGTATATATATATATATATAAATACTGTATTATTTTTCTTTAACGATTTTCTGCAGAGTTTTTACTAACATTTTTTTCTTTTTTTTTTTTATAATCCGTTTGAAAAAATAGGATTATACAATTCTATGCATATATTTTTTCTTTTTTAGCCATTTGAAGGTTGGATTTTTTAAGGATTTTGCATGCTGAGAAAAAATAAAAATCTTGGAATTCTTTGATAGGGTTTTGTATTTATGTACAAAATATGTTATTTTCATGTAATATATATGTATATTGCATATTATAGCATCTGAAACATACTCTTAAAATATAGTATCTATTCATTGATATCGATTTCAACGTCTGCACTAAATAAATGTTTATCATAACCACCTCGATCCCGTAATTAATTTGATCCTCTCTTCTCGCATGTGTATAATATACACATACATCATATAATTTCGGTTTAAAAATTTTATCCACTTTATTTTCTCAAAATTATGATCTATCTCATAAATATAGTTAATTAATTTTACTTATCAACATTTATTACTATTCCACCTTTCATCAACATATTACATTGTATATTTTTATGTTTATTTTTTATTGGTTTTATTTAAAATATCACTCAATTGTAATATTTTAATTGTAATTTTTGAGCTACAATTTAAATGATGCAGAAAACTCTTTGTAAAAAAAAAAAAGTTTGGTTAAAATGATGAATTTAATGAAACTCCAACTTATTTTTGTAAAACATTTTCAACATTTTATAACAATATATATCTGATTACTTTAAAAATTATTTTTATATTGATGATAATTATACTAATCTCTGTTCTTAGATGAAAATCATGGGTTATGCCAAACCCTCATTAACCCTCAAAAAAATCTCACTAATCCACACACCATACAACGTTCCAATCAATAAACCATCCTACCGCTTATACTCTCTCTGATACATGTTATAAAACGCATTCCTTCACGGTTCGAAAATTGAATTAGTGCCATAATTAAATCCCAAATACTACTTAAGATTTCACCCGTTAATTATTAAACACTCAAACCCTTTCAGTTTTTTATTTACTCAAAATTAAGTTCCTAGAAATTCAATGTACCGTCTGAAACGTCAATGGACGTCAAAAAACTCTAATTAAGATGAAAAAAATTACATTAGCTTGTTTAAGGCAAGGATAAGTTTTATTCTTATCTTCATGCAATAATTAAAAATATTAATTACGTACACTGATCCAATTTTATATGTTGTGCAATGTTCAGATTGTAAATATTCCTCAATAAAAAAAAAAAAAATGACGTCAGTATTTAAAGAAATACCAAGTATGATTGTTAGAACCGTACATTATATCTTTACTTTTAGGCTGCAAATTTTTCGCTGTTAAATAACGGACGACCAATATTGCTGATATGATGATCGTGCTGATATTACGTAATCTTCTAAATATATATATATTTAATATGATCATGTTTATTTATACCACAATTCATCCTATTTTTATGTAGTATTTCATGGTCCAACTAATGAACTTTATGAAAATCGTATACAGTTTAATAATAATAATAATAACGCATAAAACATTTTGACTTATGTAAAAGTTAAAGTTATTTTTCAACCATTTTATATTTAACTAAGTTCTAATTTTTATTTTATGGATGCATTATTATGATACTTTTTTTTGTTTTTTAATAATAATTTTAAATCATCTTCTTATTTATTTACATAACTCAATAATGACAGCAACGTGTGTTGATATACGTGATTAAGACTTGATATTTATTTTTAAACTTTATTTCAAAAAAATAAAATAAAAATCCAATACGTATAAATAATCAAGAACCCATTAATAAGATACTGAATCATAAATAATTTCTACAATAAACAAGATAAATGCTTTTTAAGGAAACTATCGAATATTCGTTATAAATTAATTGAAATGGGTAACTTAAAATCTTAATTTTAAGGCTGTTAATAAAATGTTCATATCTATTCTAAAAACTAAATTTGTCCTATTTGTCAATTATAATTTACCTTCTTTTAATTGGTCACATAATTCTTTATAAATAATTTGTAATTCTTCAATAAATTCTTATTTTGTTAGTGTATTATCCTAATTTAATTTAACCAATTCAACTTTGTACATAATAAGAATAATACTACTCTGGATTTAGTGTCGTATCACAAACGTTTTTTCGGTGACCGAATAAACGTAGCCGACAAAATCGCGACCGATAACGATCGTTATATTATGCGTTTTATCGGTTGCCGAAAACTGAGGATCCAAATA